TTGCAAGTTAGATCGTAATACGTTTACTATACGTAAACAATTAAAACTACATTTAATTATATTCACGATTAAGTAATCACTCGAACGAGACTCTTCATATAATTACGATCGAACATCTCTCTATGAGATCGTTCGATCTTCCAATTATGAAACTCCTAATGAGCTATGAAGATTATTAATATACGCACATACACATGAAAAATCTCTCTCGGAAAATTACTAATATTGATCATAATTATCCTAATTTAATAAGCATCTTACGTGTTTATAATTTTAAAGCTACTGTGATTTTATTTTCGTATTAGAATTTTCGACTTTAAATTCTAAATATCTTTTCTGTCGCCTAAAACATGCCATCTAAATTTTAAATTAATTTCAATATTTTTATTCTACAACGCGTAGAAACCTGTTTTTGAATGCTACATCCCACATAGCATGCATACCAAAAAAACGTCCAGAAGATATCCTATCTCCTAAATATATGTTCGGGATATCTTCTGGACGTTTTTTCGATATGCATGCTATGTGGGATAAATGACGAGATAAATTCTTTTAACTGTATAACAAAAAAAAATAAAATAAAATAAAATAAAATAAAATAAAAAAAAGAGAGAGAGAGAGAGAGAGAGAGAGAGAGAGAGAGAGAGAGAGAGAATTATTCAACATTACCATAAAGAAGCGCAAGAACAGGGATTTCCGAAACACTATTCTCGATATATCATCAACGATTCATTACGCTTCTTATGAAACGTCGTCGCCGTAAAAAAATTTGATAATCTATAACCTATGTGGCTTATGGCTTATACAAACGGATTCTTCGAGGTAAAAGGTTACGAGATATCAAGTATATCCATTCTTTCATTCAGCTACAAGTAAAAATAAACACTTGTCGACACGCGAAATTGGCAGTGATTACTAATTCTGGTAATGATAAACAGTAATTATTCGAAGCTGTCGCCACGAATGTGTCTACAAGAGGTTTCGGGGAAGCTCAATTGTTTATCGATTTCGACGAAACAAAAACTGACCTCGGTATGCAAATGCTGTGGAGCAGTCCGTGATGCCTGAGGACGTGTATCAATTCGGGCGCCGTTCTGGTGAAGCCGATGATAGAAAAGGTAGCCAATAGCGTGTTCCAAAGACACAGTATTCCCCTGAGTTCGAATCTGGGCCGGCTGGCCATGTAGTGCTGCCCGCCGAATATTAGGATCATGTACAAGCCGCAGTAATAGAAACCGTTCGTCCAGTTCTTCACCATCCATTGCTTGGTCTCGTGGTGGCTGAACGTCTCCTCGAAGTTAAAAATGTAGGAATAATTCGGGAGGCTCACCTCCATGTAATCCACCTTGTTCATCCTTGGTGTTTATTTTTTCTTTTTTTTACAGATCGACGTCTCGCACGGCAAGTCTGCAACAGGCACGGATAAATAAATCGCGGATGTCTCGACTTTGCTCACAGGTCGAGGCTTCACGAAGTTACAGCGCGTAATCCGGAGGGGTCTCAAAGCCGGCAGGAAAGAATGTAAACATCGCTTTCGCGAGGTCTCTCTTTTTTTTCTTTTACAAATTCAAGCAAGAGACACACAGGCTTACGACGAGGCTTAAATTCCGAAAGGTGCTATTTGCACGTATGTCAATATTTATACTTGTTTAATTTCGATATCGCGAAATTCGAGGACCGTCTCGCTCTCTCGGGGGCTCATTCAGGTCTGTCCACGCGAGGAGCAATATCCGATCTTATATTTAAAATCGCATGATAAGATCGGACCTGGGTCCGGGCCAATGGGACGACCGAACGGGCTCGCAAGATCTCGGCGGCTATCTCGAGCACGCGATCTCGAGGCTTGCATTTTGGACATTTGGATTTTGAGACCTGACTCGCGATAATATATCGAACCGATCGGACCATGGGTCGGTGCACAGTCCGATTTAACTGTAGCGTCTTGAAATTTCGAGTAGGGGATCAAGTTAATTAAGCGTTATCTTGAAGATTTCGGGCGATCTCATTGGCCGGGAAGGATCTTACGATCCAGCTTGAGAGCCAGCTGGCTCCGTGGAGCGCGATGCCGCAATCTCGACTCTCGAGTGTGCGTGCACCGTGCACCGGCTTGAAAAAAGGAGCGCGATCCTCCGAGAGAGCCGCGCAGCCGCGCCGCGCACGCGTGAGACACGAGCGCGCCAATCCGAGTTCGACCCTCGATCTCACGCCGCGCTCACGCGATGCACGCGATCGATGCTCTCCTCCGAGGGCGGTTTTACGACGACACGCGACGGCGACAGCCTCGCGGGAGAGAGATCCGCGCCGCGCGCTCGCGGGATCACGCGATGACATGCCTCGCGCGCGTGTTTCACCGCCGCGGACGACGCGACGCATGAAGCGTTCCCGCATATCCGGACGGGGAAGGACGATATTTCGAACTCACGGCGACGCGAGCTGATTGATTCGCAACGTGTGTTCCGTGATCGTTGAAATTACGCCGGAAAAACGAGGCGGGATGATGCGAGTCACGTGAAGCATCAATTTAAAAAAAAAAAAATTGCGTCGTTATTCCTCCTTCAGAGTTGATAGAAGTTGAAAGCGCAGCGTTTTCGACGAATGCAGACGCAGGAGAAAATTGTTTAGGTATATACGCGAAACGCGCGGAGTTAACGATATTTCTGCGCGCTGAAGACGAAAATTGGACACCGGAGAAACCAATATAGGAATAACATTATCGCTCCGGAAGCGATACGAACGATACATCATGTGTATGTACAAGCGACATGAATATTCAGAGGGGAGAGAAAAAAACCGTTTACTGGACTTGGGTGTACCTAATAACAATATTGCGTAACCGTAAATGAATATTCAGTTTTGTAATTAAGACGTCAAACGTACATACGTCAATGTTAAAATGAGCTTCGACCGATTCTAATGACTTTGCGAAGACGAAGGTCACAAACGCGGCAAATGAATGCTACTTTCGGCAGGTGTAATAATTCGCTTCTTTCGAAACTGCTTCTTTCAAACGACGAAGGCCGAGAACATAAACGGGCGATGACTCCATCCTCCGTAAACACGGCGGGTTTATTACCTCGACGCGGGATAACTTGTTCGACTAGCGATTTGGTAAACGTAGGCACGTTTCGCGCGAAATCTTTAATAGACACCTCTCTCTCTCTCTCTCTCTCTCTCTCTCACGAAAACCACGACTCTCGCCTGTGGAACGCGAGGACGCGCGCGCTCGTCGAACGGTCCTAAATACATAAACTTAGCCGCGACGCGCGGCAAGGTGTATCCGAGGCCCGAGGCATTAGCGCGCAGCGCGTGTATCTCCATCCGGGTCGTGCCGTCTGGAGTGCGCTTTCTGAATGATTTCCGATCCACGTTACACACACGGATGCGGGCACGAGGAGGTGCCCAATTCGTTTCATTCAACCCACACACACGTACCGGCGCGGCGGCGTCGGCGGCCACGTACATACGTGCGGCCACGGCGTCCCGCGCGCGCGCGCACGCACACAGGCAGGTGGGCGGTTACGTACCTAGACTGGCGTTACACCTTTCGCCAATTTTCCCCAAGTCGTTCTAGGCGAGGAAACGGTTCGGCGGCGCCGTCGCGTCGTCGTCCGGGGCACGAATCTGCGGGCGAACGGGCCCCAAAAGGAAGCACGGAGCTGTCAAACGAGAGGCTCCTCTCGGTCGCGTCGCCGAGCCGGCGCGTGTCTCCGAACGTGAGGCGAGGCGGGCAAGGCCACTTCCTATTGGAGCGATGAGCCACCGGGTGGCTGCGGCTACCGGCGCTTTCTGATACACGAGCGAAATCGATAGATAAACAAACGGGAAAGGAACGGTGACGGGACGAGAGATAGTACACTCCCGTCGTCCTGCCGTCGCCGACGTTGTCGCGTGACTCACGCTCTCTCTCGCTCTCGATCTCTTTCAATATAATCCCGTCGCCGGACCGCTTGCACGCTCCTTCCGGGTTCCACGCGAGCGAGCCACCTCTCTTTCTCTTTCCCTCTATATATATGTAAATAATTGTGTGTGCGTGTCTAAAGACGCGCCGACGTCGCGCTCGATCATGTGCCCGCACACACCACGAAGACAAGCCGCGCTATGCCGCACGAACGTGCCCACCCGTCGTCTTTATACCGTTTCCTCACGGCGAACAACACCAGACACCTCCGACCTCCCCAGTTCCCCCGCGCGCTCAACCGCTTGCACTTTCCACACCCGATACCCGATTCCGTGCGGCGGAAGCCGCGCGCCGCGCGGCGAGAGACCATCAGCGGCGACCGCGCGGGCGGCGACATCTGTCGGTAAAAACGCCGTGCGCCGACGCGTCAGTGCCGAATTCTCCCCGCGAGAGCGCCCGCTCGGTAAAGCAGCGACCGTGCGGATCGACATTCGCGACTTTTGGTGCATCGCGATGATCGCAACGGAGCGTCGGCCGTTCAGCTCATCGCGTTTATGTTGTTGAACCCGCGTGGCCGCCAACATGACGGGCAAGCAGTGTCAGCCGGATGACAGCGAGGACAATCAATCGCGGATAAAGCTGATAGCGGACAAACGCAGGCTCTTGGAGGACAAGTCCGCCCAGGTATGTACGACGTCCTCGATTTATCTTCCTCCTACGTGTAAACGCGATTCTGCTGGACAGCTGGACCTCTGCCGCGTGCTGTCTGCTGTAACGCGCGTTGCAAGCCCCTTCCGTTTATCGACTCCCGTTTACTTTTCGCGAAGAAAAATAATTAATAGGCGGCGTAACGTAACTTCGCGACGAGAGCTGTCACTGTGCGTGGTCATTTTAAGTGGCGGTGGAACGCCAAATTAAAATCTTTATTCATAGACGCAAAATGGGAGCCATATGTATCTGTGGATATTTTTAAAAAATCTGTCCATAAATCTGCGAGGATAATACATCTTTAAAGATGCTATATGTATGCTGCAAATATAATCATGTCGCTCGTAAATAGAAAGCGCATGACAAATAATATAATTTTTCATTAACAAAATACTATGGGTTAAGTTGTAAAAGAGAACCGCAATTTACAGGTGGAGGCAGAAATCAGAAGCTGTTTCGATGACCTAACGAAACTCCTGCGATCCAGGGAGAAGCAGCTGCTGCGTCAAGCCGAGGCCATCCACAGACAGCAACTCTCGCTGATAGAAACTTCATTGGATTTTCTACCGTCGTCGGTGGCAGTCCTGAACGACAGGAGCAAGCTAGAGGAACAAATACGCCAGTTTGGTAATATCGAGACACACGGATCCAACGGTATTACAGTAAAGGATGTGGAGCCGTATAAAGTTGCGGATTATCAAGACGCCAATAAGGACCATGTTAGTTTCGACAAATCGATCACTAAAAAATCAGACCAAAAAGCCAGAGATCGTCTGAGCCTGCCGCGTTGCAAGGATTTGATATCCGACTACAGGACCGTGCGTATTTCAAGCCTGCCTTCCACGTTCCTCGCCGATAATCAGTTGAGAGACTCGCGGAGCGTAAAGGCCAATGCGTTGAAGATCGTCAAAGACACCCTATCCATATCGGGATGCTCGCCGCTTTTGATTATAAAACGCAAACTCGGCCTGACACACGTGTCCTTAGACGGACTACACGCTTTCGACAAAACGTATTCGCGGAACGTGCAGTCCTTCGGGATGTCTTGCAAAACTACGGAAACCTGCGAGCTAGATGCGTTGACGCACAAATCGATTGAAACTAATTTGCGAGAATTTGACGAGAAAGTCTTGGATCAGGACGATTCTGAATCAATTGGACGCCCGAAGGAACGTGAGAGAAGCTACGAGCATCCGATACAGGTGCAACAATGGTTGCAGCAAATACTCGCGGAGACCGAGATAGAGCCGGCGATTCACGAAATCGGACAGTTTTCAGAGATATCCAAGGCAAAGCTCTGCAATAACGAGCTGTAATCCTATTCGCCGATCGAATTAGACATTCTTGCGTTGTGTTTCAATTGGGGGCCAAAGTTTCCAAAATCATGGAAAGCAAACTGAAAAGGCTGATCTACCTTAGAACTGCATGCCCTGATACTTTTAATTTATACAAATCTCTTGTAAAATAAATTGGAAGGACGTTCTTACATCGTAGTTTTTCCGTGATCGTAGTAGAGGAACGTGAGAAAGGATACCAAATTTGAATGACAAAGAAAGAAGGAAAAGAAGAGAGAGAGTAAAAGATTTATTGTGTACATCGATAAAGTTTAGTACCTCTGCCACAGATGCTTAATGTGTAGTCCTTGTTCATACAACGAATACTTCGCCGTTCTTGATACAACAGACAACGTGGTTAGTGCCCTCTCGAAAAAATGTTGTGCTTAAAAATCCGAATTATATAATTGATAAGACTGTTTTTATTCTACTAAAAATATCGCGTATTTATTTTATCGTGTATAAGTTTTTAATTTACGTAGAAAGTGCTATCTTTGTTGGTCAATGAATCTTGACAGCAAATAAATGCAGCATAATCTTATTGCGACTGTTTCTTCAAGTGATATCTTTTTTATAAATAAAACTCATGATTGTACGATATTTTTGTAAATAATTAATCAAGTTAATTAATTACTATATATCGTAATTCCAGCTCTTTCTCTCCACTTACATGACTAAATTGTGCGTATAATTGTAGATTCCGTAATCAATTAATTCATTAGATGCTCAGTATTTTTGAAGATATGATTAAGAATCCATCAACTATTAGCATTAAACAGAAGCAATCTAGGATTATTATTTATTTTGCATTTTACTATTGCTTAACGCTGTTAAACAGATAATATTGTGTTGAAACATGCTTTGATATTTAATACTGTAAGAAAATAATATCCTCAATAAATTATTTCTTGTAAAATTGCACTAAGAGTTAGGAGAAACTCCTATAATATAATTAATAAAATATTCGTCATTATTTCAATTAATTCATACTTGCTCAAGTATTATTTCCTATTAGTTTCATTTCTTTAACCCTGAACTGTATAAATCTGAAATGGGCTCTTTAATATTAATATAGTGAGAAAATTTACAGTAATTTTACAAAATTATCGAATTCTGCGACTAAAAGTTTATTTCGATTCAAATTCTAATCTTTTTTTATTGTGCGGTATGCGTATCATTACAATTACGAATTTATTATACCGATATGTATGCATTAAGATGTTTTATACTGTTTAGGGTTAATTAAATGCATGTACATATATATATATATATATATATATATATATGTACATGTATTTATTTGTATTTTATCAATTGTTCAAATCAGAGAAAAACGCTTGTTAGAAAAATAATTTATCCCGATATAATTTTATCGTTCTTACATCGAGCTTTTATAAAATACAGAATATATTTATATTTATATATATGCGATATATACCATATCGACATGTACGTATCAATATACAAGTTATCGCGGGTAAACAAAATGACCGCGATAAAACTATCTAATAAGAAAAGGAAAAAAGCAAAAAGATGATAATACGCATCTATCATTGCTGTTAATCCTTGTATTCTAATCAGAAATATGGGGAAAAAAATGATTAAATGTAAAACAATATAAATTTTAAAAACTTAATAATTACATAGATTAATAAAGGATTAACAACAAAAATTGATCTTTGTATTATCAGCAATTAAATATAAAAAAAGAAAGAACTCTTACGGTACTAATTTTTTTGCTATATGTTTTCACGTTGGAAAAATCAGCATCAGTATTTGAGTTTTTCATCAATTTTTAAAGCGAAAGTTGAAATACGATATCCTTGAAATTTATTAGCGTTAAATTATTAGGAATAGTATATTGTGCACCAAAGGGCGAAAGTAGCATTTTTCAGACGAGTGTGAAGTTTGCCGCCCGAGCCGAAGGCGAGTACCTGTTTAGCGGGACGAAAGTGATCACTTTCCGCCCTAGGGAGGAAAGTGGTTACTTTCGTCCCGCTAATGCCGCCCTGGCGTGAAATTGGCCACTTTCGCCCCTCTCTACAGGCATGGAAAGTCGAACTTTCCGTGGAGGTGTTGTGAAAAATGTATTTCGACAAGAGGTAATGCAAATTAAATCCAATTTGAACCTTGCTTCCTCTAGAACATGATAAAAGAGATAAACCAAATTAAAGTAAGGTATTTTATCTCTTATAAAAAGATATATGTATATATTCTTTTTTCTGCTATCATCTATTATTTCTTAGATTTATCTTCCAACGCAATCATTACGCATAATAAAATTCTCGAGGAAATCTCGAGAGAAAACAGTAATTAATATGTTATGAAATGAACTAATTTAATAATAATTTGATTCATCTCACTCAGGAACTAATTTCATTAATTAATAAAGCTAGAACTAGGAAGTAGAGCTTGGGTCATAAGACAGGCAGCAGACTGTGAGGATACCGGTTTGCCATGGTCCTCCAGGTTCTACCCGAATATTCTTTGCTCCATCATTTCAGTGAGACTTGATAGAAGATCCAATCTTCGAAAAAAGATGGGACAAAAGCGCGATCTTTCGTGAACGTGACCGGCACGCACAATTGAGATAAGACTTCTTCATACATCTTCAAGGATTCTGGACATGACGCGCCATTTCCCTACATACAAAAAAAAAATATTAAACATTGATAAAATAATCTATATCATATATTTATATTAAGGTATCTAAAATTTTATTGTCATAGTTTTATCAATAAAATGTAGAAGTATCGTTTGCGATTAAAATCAAAACTACTTTATTGCATAATAGATGAAATTGAATGTGCTTTGAAAATGAATAAAGATACTCACATGCGTCATATATTTTCCGGTAGACTTCAACACCTTCATGGAAGAGTTGAGGATTAGTCTAATAAAATCCCAGGCATCACCATGTGGCGTTGTGCTAATAGGAATGTCCGTCAGATCGCCGAAGACGTAATCGAATTGTCGTCCTTCTTCGATCATATGGGCTAACGCTTTCACACAATCGCCGACAATGATCTACAAAGAGAGATTATTATTATTCCTATGAATTTTGTTGTTAGTTCACAAGAATCTAGATGTTTAGATTCGAATGTCCGGTTGAAGATGTTCAGATTAAAAAATGTTCGGTTCTTAGAATTTAAGCGCCTGAAAATTTATAAGACGAAGCTTACTTCATAATTATCGCCCTTTCTCTTGTCTAGGCAGTCGCCACATATGCTCCGCATATGCTGGCTACAGGCTTTCATGACGATGTCATCAATCTGCAAAAAAAAATATATATAAACAGATGGTACATATAATTCGTTCATATAATTCACGCGTGAAATTTGATTCACATACTTCTAGCATCGTAATAAACTTTGGTTTTTCCTTCAATAATTCCCATAATAGGCCGCCATCGCCACCACCGAGTATCACTATCTCCTTGCCAGCGTAATTTTCTTTGCCTCGTTGCATCAGCGTTTCTGTGTATATAAGATCTGCCTCGGACATGTCTGCAGAGGAATTTCTAGTAAGTTGTAAATAATAGACGAAGTTATAACATAATACAACTTACTTTGGAGTTCGTCGAGTACCAGCAGATTGCCTAGCGATTTGGAGTGCACAATTTGTACCTTCTGATACGGTGATCTAGCCTCGAACACGAGCTTGTCGATGTCATATTCCAGCAGTCGCTCGTCTTGAATAAGAATAATGTTTATTGGCAACACTAGTCGCCATCTTGTAATAATGTTAATTCAAAAGCATGCTTATATACATTTAAAAAAACATTACGAAGAGTAGAAAACAAGGTATCGCAAGGCAAAGCTGATAACACGCATGGGAACGTTAGCATCATAACCAGATGAAAGAATGATGTGAGGAAATTGGTAAAAGATTAACTATTAAAATTGGGCGACGCTTTGTCATGCAAGAAGAGAACAAATAATATCATTGGGGATTAACGCGGAGAGACGTTCCAGACTGAAACGATCGCAGGTGCATATTACTAACGAGTAAGATGTATCTAGAATTATGTAGAAATCATCTAAGCTTTAACTGTGAACATCACATTTTAAATCGATTATACAGATTCGTAGCTCTCAATGAGTTTCCATCTTCACATATTTCAGAAATAACTTTAGAACGGTCTTCGTAATATATATTTTTCGTAAGAGATAAAGCTTTCGTAAGAGACGTGAGGACATTTAATACTAATATTTACGAGTCGATGTACAACATTAATTTTCCAATTGATCGAGCCCCTTAAGTACAAGCAATTCCGTTGTAAGAGCGGCCGTTAACTGGTCCGTAAACATAATTATAAATAAAAACTCACCGGCGGTAGGATAGTATCTCTCAAAGGGTCCACCGCGTTTAATTGGTGTAAGCGTGTGCGACCGTGTAGCGGTTGCTGCTGTCTGCAACGCCGTTTCCAATTCTTTGGCCAACTACCATAACCGGCCATCATCATCATCATCCATCATCATCACCATCATCATCATCATTATCATCATCGTCATCGTCATCATCATGATTTTCATTCATCATCATCATCATCATTATCATCATCAAGCCGAACCAATGAGAATTGAACAGAACAAAGACACTATCTTGTAAAACGGAATCGCTACACTCCTTGTTGTTAAGGAAGCTAAAAAAAGGTGTTAAGATCTGGCAAGCCATGATATATGGCAGGGCTTATCTTTGTCCAACAAAATGGTACGTAACAAGCGTAAAAAACGGATCGTGATAAAGGTAGCTGTGTCTGTGTATGATCGTATTATCTTATTATTATAGCCGTACGACTAAAAGTGACGATCCGGAAATTTACAACTCTAAGAATCTAATAAACCTCGGATTCAATTATTATTCAAAAATAATAATGCATTAAATGAGAGAATGAGAGATAAATTATTATAAAAATAATATTTTAAGCTTCGTGATTATATATATATACCGTAAAGATATTACGCACGTTTCAACTGGCAAAATTTCAATTTTTAGCTAGTACCGTGTACTTTTATCGTATAGGTATCTTAATAGAATATTAATTTATAGCACATAAGAGAGAAAGAAAAATATAATAGAATTCAACGATAATGATTTATAAGGCAAGCCACATTTACATCTCTGATTGCATTTCGATAATGAATCCGTTCTTAGATCTCGTAGCAAAATACGCCCTATGCATTGCAGCAGTTGCCTAAGAACTTTTATTCGTACGACCGAAAAAAGGCAAGAGAACAATTATACAAGTAAATATACATATATTTAAATATTATATGTATTTGAATGAATGATCAAAACTTTTTTTTTATGAGCGAATTAAGTGCTGGGTAGAAAAATTTGGGCTGAACGTAACAGTGCTGGGAGCAAAATTAAGTCAGCATTCCTGGCAAGCGGCCTATCCTAAATATCTATTAGTAAACAGTCAATAGCGATATTGTAATTCTCTATGCCAAATATTTCACGAAATAAATCTACAAGTATGTAAAATATGTAGTTGTGTTAGGAGAAGTGAACGAGGAACAAAATCTAATTGAGGGAAAGCATTTTTTCTACCTGATAGTGTCAGATAGAGGTCATATATGGTTCCTCGTCTTACTGGCGGTAAACGCTTGCTGCGCTGGCTGTTCAAAGCCATGGCAACATCAGCTTCCAAGTATCGCCACTGCTACAACGTTCTGTCAGTTATGTCATAATTCCTACTTGCGTTGTAAAAAAAAATTCTACATACAGGATGTTAAAACAAATGGTTCGGGACAGATAGTACTCGGTGGCACTCAGAAACCGAGCAAAGAACATTCAATCAGCAAAAATTGAAAAAAGGGACTTTCCTGACGTCGCATATATTTTCTCCTTCCTAGATATAACAATTATCTTATCACGTTAAAATACGATAAGATAATCCTTTCTCCGCGGTAATTGTAGCAACGCATTTATTTTACAAACTCGAATATATACATTCTAAGTCGCTTGCAAATCAATGCAAAAACTTGTTATGGAGATGTAATTAGCCTCAACATTAAGACAGTGCATTGCTCTTTCATTTACATAAGTGCTTTCATTTACATAAGATTACAGCTGATATTTCTGTCTAAAAATAATTAAAATTAAATCTGGTTGTAGATTATCTTTTCGTTTTCTTTAATCATTTGTTATATAAGATAAAAACCGAGATAAGAGATATGATAATCGAATAAATGATTTTATTTGCTCAATCTTGGAGTCGGCAATCTTTGAGCGAAGTTTTTTTGACCAACATATAGAAGCCAGAGATTAAATTAGCTGAGTATAATTTCGCAGAATTCGTAACTACGCAACAAACGGTTCTTAAGGATCAATCATCGCATGCATTTTGTATCTAAATATAAACTCAGCGAAATTATACTGGCATCAATCCTTGATAGAGGGAAGTCCCGCTTGTATTACTAAAATAGAAAATTGCTTTTAACTCGGATAAGATCAATTTCTCGAACCATATAGACAAAGTATTTTTTACTCAGTTTAATGAGCCCGATTAAGTCTCGAATCCTTTTCTTCAACAACCTGCATTTTACTGCTTCACGTTTTACTTTAAATTTTATCACGTAAAGATCGATACGTTAATCATATAATTGAGTTTGTCAGATTCGTTGCAATTCTTCAATGAAAAAAAACCCACGTGTTCGCAACTTTTTCTTTCTCTCTGAGAACTGAACGTGTTCCTACGTGATTAGTTTATCTTTATCTTTCTTTTTTATTTTAAGAGATTCTGATGAAGTGATTATATAAAACCCTGCCTATAGAAGGTAAGTGGTGTCTCTCAAAAGCACTAGCGTTCGTTCTTCAACAGATATTTTTCTAACGTTTACAGCAAATTGTTTATCAAGTTCGTGCATACATACCTCGAAAGTTAAGAGCGCCTCTTGATCGTCCTGCTTGTAATACTCGATGTTTAACGTAATCAGACCCTCTGTGTACCCTCTGACAGTGATCAGACTGCCCCTGGGTCCGGTATATAAAACGAGCAAACTGCCGTCGATGTTCGACTCTGTCAGTGGCTTGAGACCGGTGAAATGTTCCGCCAGTACGTTCGCGATCGCCGATTTCAGGCCCGATCGCTTCTCCATATCGGCAATTACGCTACTGGAGACCGTGAAGTCCAGGAGTACGGTATGGGCTACCATTGCTTCTGCAATGTACGAACACAGATATAGGATGGTGAAGTCAATCCGGACGGAGAGACGGCAATTTGCCTCATATACTTGTTAAAGGCCTTGTCACGCGGGCGATAAGTCATCGGCGAGTCACGGGGTCACAGGAAAACTCAACGCGCGAATATCTTTTCCCTTCCCCTTTTCTTTTTAATTATATATTTCACGTTATACAAGAGTAGTCGAGCCGCGAGCGCATGCAGAAGCTAAAGGCTGAGCGACAGCGTGACGACGGCATGGAATGTCCTTAACGTCGCTTCGGGATAATACATTACATAATTAAATCCCGTGGAAAAACAGGTACGTTGCCGGTGCCCGCGCTACGTGACTTGACACACCGCGCGGCTGTCGATAATCAACGGATGATTCATTAGTTTCATTCGCCGGTCATTCGCTTGTTTATACTCACGTAATTGTGCGATAACGTTTATTGCTCGGTCTGTTCGGGCGTACGCCAGTGTGTTGCTCCCAGACGTGAAGGAATGACGTGTGCACACACTGGCACAAGAATTTATGCGCAGGTTATCGGATGCGCGCGGGGCGATAGGAATTATCATCTGGAGGACCTCTCTGACGATTGTGTTCGATTGCTGGTGCGATGTATCGCGAGATATCGCGGCGTCGCGATACCTCGAGACCTCCGGCCGATTCAAACGCACGGATCCAGAAAGCGCGCGCGCATATCTCGAGATACATTATTATAAATGTATTACATCATAATTATTATATAACATCGAACACCAATTTAACTATCGCATGCGACAGTAAAGTTCTTGAATTGTGTTGTATATTAACAAAAAAAAAAACCTGTGAAAGCACTTGGCGTTGCGCAGATGCAAACAAAATAGAAAAAAAATTTAGAATTATATAAGAAAAAACGCAGAGTAGTGTGCAAACAAAAGATTTAATAAACATATTTATTTTAAGACTTACTGGAGCTTATCCCAATAAAAATGTTCATTTTTTACCATAATATAATATTCTCTCCCATATGCTTCACGAGCATAAGTGAAGCTCGAACATATTTCATACATATGTGCGGTAAAACATCTACTTATTTAATAGGGTATAAACAATATATAAAACCAAAAACATTGTACAAAAATTTTTACAATTTCCATTGAGTTATAAAAGGTGAGTAAAGAATGTAGCAATTAATTGTGTTGTGTAAATTGACAAAATGCATTTATAGATGCATTTGAAGGTGCTGCGTGGTCGGCTGCGTTACAACTGCTTCTCCGAGTAATTAAATTCCTGCAACAATATACGCATTTGTTCTTTTTTTTCCCCTCTCACCTCGTATGAGTACCCGATGAAATTGTCCTGTTACGATCGATAAAAAGTATGAAAAGTAACACACGCAATGAAATAACATGAGACATTGTTTTCCGAGCATCTACCGTCAACACTCAAATACCATCCACAAAGGTCAGATGAAAAATTCTAACAATAAGAGGCAATCATAACTGCACACAGTACACCACACAGTTTCTCTTTACCTTAATTATGAAAATGCAAATCAATATTGGATAATTATATTTAAGCTCTCTGAGAGCTTAGACTTCAAAAATTATGACCATTTTTCTTCCTTCACCTGCCTTCCTGTGTCATCCTTTTCCCACAACTATGCTACTATTTATGCAAATATATTTTATTCAAAACGTTTACAATGATTACAAACTCTATTTAGCCCACTTACATTTATGTATAACATGAGGATGAATCATGTACGGTTTAATATCGTTTTTGTACCTTCATTGCAGCTTTAAATCCAACTGTGGCGAGTACCCCGAGACCGAACATAAGTATATATGGTAAATACTTTATAATAGGCAAACTAGGTCTTCTTTCGAGTAAACGTCTAAGTATCTTCAAATTTTCGTCGGAATAGGGTGGAAAACGGGATCTGAAAAACATATTTTCTGCTTGGTATTGAAAGACTACTATTAACTAATATAGCAAAATATTCTATATATAATTTACATAGATTAGATTATACAATTATCTGATTATATAAAAGAAGATTCACACTTACTTGGCCAAAATTTCCGCAACTTTATTGTAATTCCGAATCAAACAACCTTTCTTATGTGTGAATGTATCGAACGTGAATTTTCCATGGTAGGCTCCCATACCAGAATATCCTACTCCTCCAAAGGGTAAAGTCTCAACTAAAGAAATAATATACAATAATAATGAATGAAATAATGTAACAAAGAGGAGAAAAAAATAATTTGATATTAATTCTTGTTATGTGAACATATACTTATCACTTTTATTTTTGTTAGAATCTCTCATTATTTGTCTTAATCAAATTGAACTAAAGATTTTATGTTAATAGATTTATGATTATAAATAAAGCAATAATTTTACATATATATAAGAATTCCTCATTAAATTGAAAAGAATTTAGTGAGAGATAAGTCAAAATAAAAATAAAGAATATCTTGAATAAATGTTGAGAATGCAATAGTTTTTAAATAAGTTATTATAAAAGTGACTGTTTACAAGCTCCTATTTCTACAACTTTAAAGATATAGCAGTAATTTGTAGCACGTTATGTAGCGGTATATTTATAGCATGTATTACATCCTCAACATTCGTTCATAAGTTAGTTTTTGATACCATTATACCACTTGTTAAAATTTTAGACTTAATGGAGAACATAAATAGTGCAAGCCAAGTATGATACAATTAAGCAATAGAATAAAAATAAAAAGCTCGTATTACAGAATACTCATTAGTTCATTACATTGGGTACGTTCAGCCGATACTCCGCTAGCCTAGCAATCGTGAGCAGTCGCTCGTTTCCTCTCCTTTGACCCAATGGATTAAAAGGAGAGGAAACGAGCGAAAACGAGCGACTGCTCACGATTGCTAGGCTAGAGTATCGGCTGAACGCAGCCATTGCAATTCAATTTTAAAGAAATTTAATACATATACATACATCTAATACTCTGTTAACAGAAACAACGTAATGCTGTTTGAAAAAAAAGAAAGCTAGCTAGGACAAACGTATAAATAATTTATAAAAAAAAAACTTTTTATAACATTATTGTAAGAAAAACTACCTGCTGCATGTAATATCACGTCATTAGCAACAACGCTGCCACTAGACGTATTATTAATAATCAAAGATAGAGTTTCCTTGTCCTTGCTGAATATATACAACGCTAATGGCTTCTCCCTGTTAAATAATTAATGTAAGAAAGTCATTTCTCTTTGCGAAATGTGTATTTGTATGCGTGAGTATGTGTATGCACGCGCTCGTGTATGAGTATGTGCACGCGCCCGTGTATATGAATATGTGTACGCGCGTGTTGCGAACAACTCTGATACTTTATAATCGCACATCATTACGTTTGTATAACATTAATAATACGTACTAGTTTCTCTTTTTGATGTCAATTTCATGTTAGTACTTATTTTGAATATTTATAATTTTATAATATAATATATATATTACTTAATACATATTATAGCAATAACCACCACCATTTTCAGATGCATTCTATTATTTGAACAGTATATACAGTTTGATAATGCAAAGTTTCCACACTTGCAACCTCACACATAAGTAAAAAAAAATAAAAGATTTATATGTACAGACAGTAGAAAAATCTATTTTATACCAAGAAAGAAAGATATAGTGTGTAAATTTTCCTTCAGCAGTCATCACACCTAAACCAGAAAAAGAGAACGAACATGCTTGTTTCAATCAGAGAATCCTTAATCCTAATCAAGAAATGCATTCCTGCTCCCTCTCATAACCAGTTTACGAAATCAATTCGTACAACTACCAACCGCATCTGCACCTCCTTCCGATAGACAAACCGAGCTATTTTGTCAATTTCGGCAGAACCAAAAACGATAAACGTAAACACAAAAGTAAAATATTGTAAAACATAATTGTCGTGGGACTTATCGGTCTCCTGCAAAGGTTTTTCCTTTCACCAAAATTCTCAAAGAATAAATAAACAGGCCCAATATAGATAATACTTCCGTCACCTAGAATCCGGACTCACCGGTATATTGCAATAACGTGTCGTTGACGCACACGGCTCCGCTGCTGACTTGGTCTATAATTAGATCTTGTACTCTCTTGCTCGTAGAAAATACGTACAGTACAAGTGGGCTTTCACTACATGCGAAAAACTAATTACTTCATGCCGTTCCCTCGCGTAACAGTGAAATCGTGAAATGTATGAATGTATGAGAGAATATAAGAACATCTATCCCCGGTAGTTATATTTACGTGGGAATAAAATCTTCCGTTCGGGATTATGAAAGATTTCAGATTATAAAAATTCGGATAATTAAAATATTCTAGCTACAGATAAAAAAATGCGCGATATTTCAGAAGGGGATATTTGCATTATTCGTTTCTCATATAATCCCTTGCTCATAATATCGAAGTCAAATAACGTACCGACTGTTGATGAAGTTAATTGCTTCGTAAGCATTATTAACGTTTATTATAGGTAATATCGGCCCAAATATCTCTTCCTGCATGATGGAATCCGTTGATTTGACATCAGTAAGTATTGTAGGCGAAATAAACTTTTCCGCAGGATTTACGTCGCCACCGATAGCAATCTTGGTTTTATCGTTTATATAATTGACAAGTCGCCTAAGTATAGGAGAAATAATTATTACTTAACTTATCGAGGCGTCTTTAAACTTGTAATCATTATTCGCCTTAAAAATAATTATATTGAGTATTTGCGTGTAAAACTTACTGATAATGTTTGTCTGTAATAATGCGTGCCAAGTCAGGATTTTCCCGTGGATTGTCACCGTACCATTCCTGTAAAATCTTTTTAGCTTCCTCGATAAATTTGCTCTGTACCTCGGGTGTGCATAACATATAATCGGGCGCGATACACGTTTGACCAACGTTGACGCATTTACCCCACAAAATGCGTTTCGCTGCCATTGCCATATCCACTGTGTTATCTATGTACACGGGGCTGCAAATCGTTGTTATTCAGTACAATTCCGTTCAAAAGATAAGTTTTTGGAGAAATATAATTAAAATTGCATTTTGCACGTATCTAGATTTTTTTTTTTAAATTCGTTTAATACCTCTTTCCACCCAACTCTAATGTAACGGGTGTGAGAAACTCATTAGCAGCTTTCCGTACAATTTTTCCAATTGTAGAGGATCCAGTATAAAAAATATAATCAAAACGTTGCTTGAGTAGCTCTGTCGTTTCTGATACTCCTCCCATTATTACACGGCAACAATCCTGTTCACAAGAAACATCAAGTCATAATTCCTTTTTAATAAGCAAGACGTTTGACATATGGAGTTAATTTATTTCAATATGGATATATTGAAATATTGTTGCAATAAAAATCATGGTTTTTTTTTTTAAACTAATGTGTTAAGAAATAAATAATAGAGAGAAAAAAAACAATGTTGCCTCTTCATTATACAAGACGCAGTTCTTGTGCGTCATCGTTATGCAACAAAGTATCTTGTAACAGAGTTCAATTCAAGCCATTCAATTTCAATTCAATTTTATGGTCTACCTTCTTTAGTTAAAGAAAAGTAATGATTTATAACAGAATACCTCATAGGATGCAGGATATTTCAAAATTCGCAAATGAAAAAAATTGCTACAGTGGGAAAATTCTCGAGAAATTAAATGATAACTTTTGTGATTATCCATTAACAGTAGTTTGTAAAATATAAAAATTTAAAATTAAAATATAAAGAATTTTAGCAAATCAAGTCTTACGTACCGTATCTAAATATTTCGGAATGGTCTCGTACAAATATTTCGCTGTAGCCGTTGCAATCTCGGAAGGTTTCACAATCACGCAGTTTCCAGCTGCGATCGCGCCCATCATAGGTAGTAAATTCAGTTGAACAGGATAATTCCACGCACCCATAACTAATACAACTCCATAAGGATCTTTTCGGATTTCCACTCCATCGAAAAAGTTCGCCAGTGACTTGGGCGGCTGCAAAATATCGCAATCTTAAAAGTTCACACTCTAGAGCCTAGCCTATTAAAGCTGTCTAATGAACGGAAATAAATAAAGAGAGATATACTCTTATATAACATATATATAAAAACTGCATCAAGATTACCTTCTCTGTTGCCGACCATTCTTTAATATTCATGAGCATGTATTTAATCTCTTGAATTGTATAATCAATTTCCAATGCGAACGTTTCAAACTTGCACTAAAATATAATCGACATTATTAAAAATAATAGTGAAAAGAATATATTATTAAAAATAATAATACGATATTAGGCTAATGAATACACTAATGAAGCGATTGTTTTTAATACGTGATCATTAAATCATACCCTGTGCAGATCTGACGCCAGGGCTGCTACTATTTCTGACGAGTTTTCCGTCAGCATACGCATAAGCTGTTTTATTTGCTTGATCCTCCATTCTAGCGGCCTTGTCTTTCCACTGTTAAACGCGTCTCGCGACTGCTGAACTAACTGTAATAAATTTTATATAGACGAGTTGTTAGTCCTCAAAAAAATTATACATTTTTCTCTTACATAACACGAGAAAGAAGACACTCCGATTGGTTTAATTAAAAAATATAAATGATAGTTTTTCAAATGTAATTGCAAAATTTCGTTGGGGTCCCTGGATACCCCAGGGTGGTTTTCGAGGATTAATAAACAGTTAATTATTTGCTTACCTCAGGATAATTTATAGGCACTTGTTTGTCATTTGTTTGCGCTGAAACAAAAGAAAATAATACATTGTTCGATATAAATATTTGACACCCTTCTATTTCGATCGCTTATTACGCCACAGGATATGCAAAGTTAAATAAAAAAAACAACTTAATTTAAATGCTAAAATATTTATGTAAATTAAATCAACATTGAATCGTTACACTCCAACGAGTTAACCTTCACGCTTCTCTTATTGCGTGATGAGCTTCACATATGACTAATTTATAGAAAAAATGATAATTGCCAGAGCAATCTCATTTATAACTTTCAGGATCTGTTCAAGGATCTGTTTATTTCGAGGGCGCGATGAGGTAATAAGCAAATTTCGTGCAAATTGTTAAACTCGATTCCCCAGGGAAAAAAAAGAACGTAAACATTAGTCGAAAAACATTTATATTAATTTTGGAACTGGCGTAGGTTTTTCGAATAAAAAGTTAAATCCAGTTTTAGCTATTGAATATTTTAATATTAATTAATATGTAACGGATATTACATACAGAAATATTAAAAACTCGAAATATATAAGGAGCAAGTTACAAGACATAAAAAAATTCATCTTTCCAAATGAGGTTCGATAAATAATCCGTCAATGGAATTTTTGCCTGAACGAGAATTTAAAAAACCATTTGAGACCAGCAAATAAAAAGAAGAGTCGTGCGATAAGACAAATTTTTGTTTTCAAAGTGCGGAAGATAAGACGATAAGTGCGGAATAATCTTTTTGGGATATATAGTTGCTTCAGGAACTGATCTCTCGTCACGTAAAACCGAAAAATCATCATACAAAAATGATCGTCCCGAAGTAACGGTTAACACGAACGTGTCCGTTTATTTTTGTGTCGCTGATGTATCGCCGCCGGGAGGGGGGGGGGGGACACGGCGGACAAGGACACGCCCGATAAGTATTTAAACGTATTAAACGAGATATGCAAAGTCTCGTCGACCTCGTTCGAAGAAAAAAAAAACAAATACATATATATACATATATATATCTGTTGTGGTTTGACGACTTCCAACTTACATACACGTAGCTACTTTTATCGATACGTGTGAATCTCGGCTGAACTTTTTTCTTTATTTTCTTCCAATTCTCAGAACTCAGAACTATAAAATTTCCAATTCCACAGTTTTAAGAAATTGAAGAAAAATTAAAAAAAAAAAAAAAAAA